AGAGTCCGACTCCCCAAGACCTCGCTGCTGGGATCCAAAAAACACTTCAGTTACAGAACTGCTGTTTATCTAAGTAAGAGCACAGCATGCATTTGAAGGTGAATATGGTGCTGTAGGACGTTTTTCCATTTTGCAGACCTGTTGTCCTGCAAGAAAGTATTTTCGAAGAATATGCAACACTGTCCTTGTCAGGGCCTGGTGTGAGAAGCTTGCATCTAAATATCTAAGAAATCTAGAATTTGTCCAGCATCTCTTAAAGCATCTAGCTATTGCCCTTTTCTCATGTGTGCAGTGTAAATATTTCATATGGGCACTCCTTGAAACTAGGTGAGAGGCTAATCTGCATCGGAGTGGTATATTGAAATAAGCTCAATGTATCACCTCAGGTATCTCCTAGCATACAAGGTAAGGTTTTCATTTCTCTGTATAATCAGTTTTACATGCACATCTTCTTTTTCTTTTGTCAAAGAAAAGCGTACTTACCACGAAGTATTTTCTGTTGTAAAGTTTACTTGTTCATTGTTCTGCTTTTCAAATATTTATATTAAAATGGTGATTGTAGATTCTCAATGGAATAGGAAAATTCTTGCAGTGAACTTGCAGTGTGTGGAGCTAATAGCAGGTCAGGTATTCCCACTAAATATCCTTACAGTACAGAGTCTTAAAAAATTAGTTTTTGCTTTCTATTCCTGTAATGAAGATGGATTTATTAACAGAGAAATAAACTGGCTTATCATTAATAATGGTGTTGAGTTGTCTGTTTTGGATGTGGTTTATGCTTTAATTGTTTATCTATGAAAGGAGCAAAAGTAATCCTATTTAGCACTAATGCTACCTTTGCTAATGCTACAAAATTCATAGAAGATTTAAATCATAATGTACTCAATTATAATCCTCATGAAAGTCATTCACGTTGTTAGTATAGTACTGAGGTTCACAGAATAAGAGAGAAATCCTCATTTGCTGTAAGTTTCTGTTAGCTTAATTCTGGGTATATGACCTGAATTTCCAATTAGGTAAGATGCTCCATACCTAGAATAAGAGTTAATCTGAACCCAATTATGTTAATATAAACTGAAGTCATTACAAATTATGTATGTGGATTAATCAGTCAGACTGGGCATAATAAGACATCCATTTTGCTTTACAAAGCAGTTCAATTTCTTGAGATGAAATAGAATCTCAGAAGTCTACTAATTGCTGGAAGATAATGTTGAAGAGTGGGAGGAATACTTCATCATTGAAGAACACCCTGTAGGACACTAGAATCGCTATGGTAACTGGATGTAGCTGCAGGACCATGTAGACATACCCCAGGAAAAGAAGGAAGAGAATGATTATGCAGCAGTTGTTGACTTTGCCCCCTTTTTTTTTTTTAATTAAGATGATTGAAGTTAAACTGTTGATCGTTCAGATTCAGCTGGGTAGCATCATTATAACATAGAGCGTGCAGTACTGTTCCTCTCTTCATTCAAAAATACATCCGTGGCAGAGCGAGGATTTGGAAGTCTGTTCAAGTCCCCTGCAGTACTACTTGCATCTCTAGTGTCTGACATAGGAGACGGCTGGGAAAAGATTTGTGTGAGCTAGTGCCTTGGGGAAGAGGAAGAAGGGGAGACAGGGTCAAGAGAAGAGAGCAGGAACTGGGAATAGAAGCCAATTGTGAGCTTGTGCTCGCTTGCACTATATGACAAATACTTTTGCTAGCATAAGTTATATCTAGTTGTTTGTCTCACGCATCAACTCAGGCCTATTTCTACCTGTCCTTCCAGCAGAAACTAGCAGTAGCCATCATTGCCAAGTAACGTGTGCTTACCACATTTAATATAACAATATAAAACCAAGACCACAAAGGGCTCTAGCAGGAAATCAGGTTGCCCAACATCTGCCACATCAGATAGCGTGCTCCTTCTTGACCTGTGGCAAACAGAAGATAAAACTCGGAAGACTTGCTCTGCAATAGAAGAGGTTAACTTAAGTGAGGTATAACTGGCATTTGCTGTGGGATGTAGAAGATCCATACAGTATTGTATACGATGGGCCCTTGGTTATTTTACCCGCTACCAACCTGCCTTTAGAGCACTGTGCGAGCCTGTTCCCTGCACACAAATGCTGCTCTAAGGAAGAGACCACGCTCCCAGCTGCTGCCTTTGCAATACCGAGTCTGCCTGCGTAATTAAGAAGCAGGAGATGTTCTCCTGCAGAGGACGTGTCCCACCCAACCGCTGTAGCATTCTTAAACCAGAGGGGGCTTAAGACTTTTATTAGGAAGTAATCTGGCAGATTACAGACATGATCTACTATTCTGTGTGACTCGGTGAAATACTGTAAGATATTACTTGCATTTTGTTACAAAAAAGCAAGAAGAGGTTACACAGCTTCCCCCAAAATCACAGCAATGCTGTTCTTGGGTCCCAGAGCTTATGCTGAGGCTCTTCTCATCAACTGGCTGACAGTCATGTGCCAAATACTGAGAGCCTGCAGAAGCACACACTGGTATCTATGCTAGCAGCTACTTCTAAAAGCGGCAGGATTGGGAAAGGGGTCAATGGTGTTTTGTTACTTTTTACAGCACTCATTTTAGTTTTTTCTTTTCTAAATTGCAGAAAAACCTCCCCACTGCTGCCTCCTGCCCCTACAGCCCCTCCACCCCTTTCCATTCCTCCCTTCCGTCCTAAACTGCACCTGCCACCTCAAATTTTCTCAGGAGAAAGCACTGCCTTTCAGCATGGATCTGCGCAGTGCAATGTCACTAAGATGCACTCAGGTAGGCAAAATCTCTTCTAAAAAAAGCCCATTTAGGCACCTGTTCAGGCCCAGGAGGACCAGAGATTACGCTCTAGTCTGACACTTTTCTTTGGGACAGACCTTCTAGACTGTCCCTCTTGAATGAAGCGAAAAGTGGGGCAGTGCACGTTAGGCGCATTATTACCTTGCATTAAGGTAGCCTGCTAAGTGGGATCTGATCAGAGGGTTTCGGCTAGAATTTCCCCTTACCATCAGGAATCTGCCAGCAGCAGTCAGATGAGTAGACTATTCTCTAACCAGGAATCTCTCCCTCTATTCTCTGCACCTGAGACACTGTTACTGATCTCGGGGGTCTTGCTTAGTCACCCCTCAGCTCCTCTGCTCTGAAGAAGAGATGTTGTCATGAACATATTTCTTCTACCCCTCACCATTGCCAGGCTTCCTGATAGTAACAATTTCAAGCGTAGTGCTTTTAGCCAGAAACCTGCTGTCGAGTTTTCTGCAGCTTTGACCTCACCAAAAGTGGGGAGTGTGTAAGGGGTGTTGTGTGGAGCCAGCCCCCAGGTGGAAGGCAGGAAAAGACACGGAAACCTAAGCCCCCCGTCTGCCTTCTTTTTCAAATCAGTCATTCCAAATCAGAAGCAACAGAACAGATACGTACGATGCCTGTCATCTTTCATCCTTTCACAAGGTGCTTTTGCTTCTTTCAGATGTGTTTGTGCTCTGCGTTGCATCAGAAAGATCAGGTTTCTTCTGAAGACAGATCTAAGGATGCACTTGTAAAACCACGTTTAAATTGTCAGGATAGAAATTTCTACAAACCGGGGTTTTCTGGGTGAAAACATGCCCCATACTAAAAAAGCATCGTTCTGTATCTCTCACCGTGAGAGTAAGAATCACCTCCTCAAAACAAGCAGCTTAAGTAATTAATTCACTACTTGTGTATTAAGTAGAGAGAGATTTAAAAAAAAAAGCATACATACACACATGTAAAAACTGTTAATACCTTTAAATAGTGTGTTTTGTACTGTTACAGAATAGTGAACCACATTTATTTGTAGAAAAAAACATTAAGACATCAGATGTTATATTTTTGAAAACTTTCTCTTTAAATAATACATATTTCCAAAAAACAGAGTCCTCACATGCTGAGATTAAGACTACACTCATTTGTTAGGTCTGATTTTACAGATTTTTTCCAGCCCCCACTGCCTTTCAAATAGTTTTAATTCTGTTGAGCAGTTTGCTTCTCTGACGAGGGTCTTAACAGTCATAACCAATAAAAACAAGACAGCCTGAGTCATGAATTTATATTTAATAAATAAATTTTTATTTAAAAATATGCTCCCATTTATTCACAGTTTCAAGTCTGAAAAAGATAATACTGTTCTTGATCAATTCAAACACAGCTAAAGCCATTCACTTTCTGGGGTAAATGAAATCCCAGTGATGGCTAATATTTGCAAGAGTCTTGCATCAAAGCTAGAAAGGCACACATTTTTGTGCAGGGTAGTAACTGTAATAAAAGCAGTGTGTCCGTGTGTCCACATATTCAACAGAAATTTCCTTGTACAGCTTTGGTTCATGTTACCAGTTAAAGTGTTCCAATGAAGCCTTGCTTACAAAGTATGTTTCATTAAATATCAAACCAGAGCAACTGTGAGATTACATTTTTTATGCAAAACATTTATATCACTGCAAAGCCCATTACCTGTTAGAGAAAAATGGTGAATTTCTCCAACATAGAAACATAACGATTTTTTATCCAGAACCCCAAATTGGCATTTCAAACAAAGAAACACTAGTAACCGAACCATTAGAGAGTTATTAGAGGATAAAAAGGAATTCCTGTTCTTTCCCAGATGTACAATGTAACAATGTAGGCAGTATTATCACCTTCAATAAATACAAATATCACATGGGAAAAATTACCACTGATCCCATGCATAGCAAGGCACTGTTTCTGCTGTTTTGCAGCACTTCAGTCACTGAATTCCTCCATTACTAGCTTCGTTATTTTGAGTCAGCTGTTCCAATAAATTTAAGATTACCTCTATTCGTTCTAGTAGAGTCATACTTTTGTTAGCAGTTGCACGCAACAGCAGGGAGTAGACTTGCTTGTTTGTTTTAAGAACAACTTCTTCTTCATTAATGCCCCTAAAAAGAAAAACAGATAATACAAACTATTAACCTGACCATAATATTTTATTCTGCAAATTATCAAAACATTTATTAAGTAACAGCACTGATGACTATCCCTGTGAAACCACATGGCTGGTGTTTTGATTTGAGTCTCCGATTTCCTTAGTTCCTATTTCCTACCATTTCACAGCACTGCTGTCAGAGCCTCTTTATACTACAGGAGGGATGTTGCCTTCGTAAGGCACAGCGACCTGGTTCAGGAGGTGTTCCAATTTTTATTCAGCTCCAGTCTGGCCATTTTATTAACTCATAATCCCAAGTCACATCATAAACCCTCCAAAATCCAGGTCTCCATGCCAAAACTCTGTATTTTTGTCTAAGTTAGTGTCTAATCTGATCATGCCAAATGCAAACAGACACCTGAACACTCAGGAGACGCCGTCTATTTGCTCCCGTGCCATTGCCTGCCGTTAGCCTTCCCCTCTAAACCACTACGGGCATCGTTTTCCCGTTCAAGTCTGAAGCCCATGATCTGCCCTCATTCTCTCAATTCCATACATCTAAGCTATTTCCCTATGATAAGAGACT